AATTTCAGGACATGTTTTTGAAATGCAAGCAGTTTCTCCTGGTATGTGTCGGGAAGGCGCTGCGCTATTGACGTCCGTTGCCGAATTACAAGATCACGTCGGGCCATAAAGCGCCTTGCCCATCCATAACTTCCCCTAAATTCATTACGAGGAATTTTAATTCTGTCCGCTATTTGGAGGCCTTCAAATTGAATCATTTCCACAGACACTGAAAATCCATCCGCCTGTGTATTACGCACGTATCGCAAAAGTTTATTTTCAAGTTCTGGAAATTTAGCTTTCTTTCCGCGGAAAGATTGTCGATTTTGTGACGTTTTTTCAAGGGCATCTTTCGTTAGTATCCATCTTCGCACATTTTTTTCGTCAACGTCAAATTTTCTCCCTGCTGCTCGATTTCTGTGTTCTTGTGCGTAACGCACCACTTGAAGTTTAAATTTAGACGTATAACCTGCTCTTACTCGACCCATGTTTCACTCAGAACTAACCAGGCAAGTCAAGTAAAGGCGAAAAGGTTATAACTCTCCCCCGCAATGCCTTTGTTCCGAGCGGTACCGTTATTTTCGCTAGTTGCGAACTTAGGAATGTTAAACGTTGCCAAATTTCGGAATAATTTCTACTCCTGAAATAATATTCCAAGAAAATTATTTTTTCTATAATTTCTGTCTGAAAATTGTGCTGCGGCCTATACACGCACGCGGCCTATACATGCGTAAATACGGTAATATGCTTTTTATCTTAGTTTCCATGGTTGGAACGGGCTTAATACCAGGGAGTTTTCTAGGAAAAGCATCTTTTTGAAATAAAATGGCATCACCTTTTGTCACTTGATGCAAGTTTAGATTTTCCGTAATCATCAAAAACAATATTGAAGGCATCTGTGATTATTTCTGGATCCTTCACTTTTTCACCATTTATAAGAACAAATGGTATATGTATGTTCAGGAATTTTCCTGACTTGTGTTTTATTATATTCCAGGTTGTTTTTATCTTATTATCTGATTTTGCTATAAGCCTACAGTAATGCTGCCTTTTAGCCTCTTTTATTACTCTGCTTAGAATTTTGCAATACTTATTGTAATACGCTCTCATGTTTGGATTATTACTACTTCTACTATATATATATATATATAGGCTCCTTTTATGTTTGCAAGATATTTTAATTCCTTGTGTAATCCAGTCATTTTTTATTCTCCCTACACTTTTATTTTGAAGTGGAAAACTAGCTTCAAAGATATTTAGAAAGATATGTAAAAAAGAATTAAACTTATAGTTTGTATCCTAATTTTCAAAAACAGGTTCCCATGTTTCATTCTTTAACAGACGTTGAAAGTGAGCAGGGGTTTCATTATTTATTCTTCTGGTTCTCAGTTTCAAGGGTGTTAAATTAGCCTAAGTAGCTATATTACTTAGTATGAGAAACTGGGCATCAAGGTCTGATAGGCCGTTGACTATGGGGGATGTATAAGAAAATCTTACACTGTGTATAAAAATATTATCAATGGCTGTACTCGAGGCATTTTGAATTCATGTTGCAAAATTCACAGTGTGTGACAGATTGTACATCTGTAGTAGTGTGTTTATTTGTTGTTTATGGTTGCTTTCATTTAAATAATTTATGTTTATGTCGCCACAGATTATAATCTCAGATTTTGGACTGTGCAGATACTTTAAAATTCCATCTAGTCTTTTTAAAAATTCATTAAAATCTCCTGTAGGAGCTCTGTACAAACTTAATACAATTAGGTTAACTGTTTTAGTTACTAGTAAAATTGCACAGACTTCTAAGTCCTGTTCCTTACAGTGATCATAATACGAGGAGCATTCCGTATATAGTGCCTCCTATTTTTTTAATGAAAACTACAACAGATACAGAAAGCATAATAATGCAGTTAAATAGGGCAAGATTTCAGCTACTTACAGTTATTTTTCCACATAATCGCCACCATTCGTTATGCACTTTTGCCAGCGATGAACAAGAGCCTGTATGTCGCACCTGTAAAAGTCTGCGCCAGCAGAGGCTAGCCACTTTCTTACAGCTGCAATGACAGCATCGTTGTCTGGAAAATGTTTCCCACGTAGTCCATCTTTCATAGGCCCAAAGAGATGGAAGTCTGAAGGTGCTAAATCGGGGCTATAAGGTGGATGTGGCAGGACAGTCCAGCCAAACTTTGCAATGTGCACGGTGGTCACCAAACTGGTACGGGGTCTAGCGTTATTGTGTTGCAAGCAGAAGGTTGTCTGCTTCTCTGGCCTGACTCGGGAAATGTGGGCTTTTAGCTTAGTCAGCGTCATCTTGTAGCGTTCAGATTTGACAGTCTCACCAGGCTCCAGGAAATCCAACAAAATCACACCCCGCCTATCCCAAAAGACCATGCACATCACTTTCCCTGCCGATGGCTGTGTCTTGAACTCCTTTTCTCTTGGGGAATCCGGATGTCGCCACTCCATGGACTGTCTTTTGGATTCCAGCTCATAGTGGTGACACCACGTCTCATCACTGGTGACGATGCTGTCCAGAAACTTGGTCACTTTCAGCCTCAAAATGGTGCAACAGATCCTGACGGACTTCCATTTGATGAGTTTTGTGGTCCTGTGTAAGCATCTGTGAGACCCACCTGGAACAAACTTTGCGATAATCCAGCTTCCCCAACATCGTTTCCAATTAGTTACTATAGGATTCTGATGATGGTGTATAACACACTAATATATTGGGTTTTTGGACTTTATCCATCGTCCTGGTTGTTATCTTAAAAACCAGGACGATGGATAAAGTCC